ACCCCAACATCTCGCCACTCCTTCGTTAATAACTTTGGTTTGTCATTAATTATCTGATCTTTTCCTTTTTCCCAACAAAATCAATGAATTCTGCGTTAAATTTCACGAGAAAACTGATATCGCACGAATCGCGAAGTGATGAGTGCGATATCGGTTTTCAAGTACAATTTAACGCGGAATTCACGAGTCAAATAACGATTTTCCTTGAATCGCATTTTTGAATAGAAATAAGAAAAAAAAAAAGGAAACAGAAACTATTATTTGTTTTTATCCTGAGCGCGAAACATGAGATGCAAAACAATATCACTTAGCCTTGTTTTCATCTCGCAATTCTACACTAAATACTTCGCTTCGTAAACCAATCAAAATGCGAAATTTTATCTAATTATGCGATTTTACACTAAAAAGTGGTCTGGGAGGAAGCAAAGAACTTAACTAATCTCCAGATTCCAATTCAAAACGAAATCAATTAATGAAAACTATACCAGTCTGAGGATGTTTCACTATTTTGAAAAGCTTATATATATTTATGATGCCTTCTTAGGTCAGAAGCCACTGCTATGGTTTGCTTTTATTCTGTCTACCTTCTGATTATGTTTTTCAATCCTCGCATCGAGGCGTGGCTGTACAAAGTGACAAACACAACCAGTCCTGAGTACAAGTCCGAACTTCACGCTAATAACGGCAAGAAAAACGGGTATTCAAAAGTTCCCGAAGATGACCCGGAAAATCCTGAATCCGAGAAGAACGAGGAGAAAGGTGATATTGAAGAAGGAAAAGAAGACAACGAACAAAACAAAAAGGAGGAAGAAAAGGAACATAAACGTGGGTTCTCCGGTAAATTTTCCATTTGATTTTCAAGCACAGGCTGTGCGGATGTTTCCAGTAGTTACTAGGGGCTTTGTTACCTCCATGTACAATAATTTAAAAGCGTTGCAGAGAGATAATTGGAGTTCTTTTCACAATTTTTAAGATGCTAGGTGAATAAAAATCGTTATAGATCCTTGGAATAATGATTTTCCTGCGTAGAAAACACCAGTTTGGTGGAATACATTTTCTTAAGGAGGGAGAAGAGTTGCGCATTGGAAACGTCGAAGCCTACAAGCTTTGATTAATTTTTTGCCATAAAGAAATACACCCATAAGTTCTCAAGATTAAGATTAATAAAGATAATAGAGACTTATGGAAGGTCTTCCAATTTTTTTTTTCCTTTTTAATCCTCAGAAAGCGGCGAGCATTTGGCTCATCATCATGAATATGATCAACAAAGACCTCACGAGGTCCCAGATCTCACTTTAGGAACGCCATTAAGTCCACCAGAGGGAGCCTGGGCTCGCATCTGTTGGGCACTCGGGCTGCCAATCAATATTTTATTCTACTTCACGATCCCGGATGTAAAAAAGGAATCTTGTCGTAAGTTCGTGGGATTCTCTTTTGTGATATGCATTGTGTGGATCGGTTTGACATCATACATTCTAGTTTGGATGGTTACCATAATTGGATACACCTTCATGATTCCTGATACCGTCATGGGTCTCTCTCTTGTTGCGTTCGGTAGCAGTGTCCCAGACTGCCTATCAAGCCTCTTTGTTGCCCAAAAAGGTGGGTGCCAAATTGGTCTCATTGTTTTCCCACGAGTTTGTTTTATGCAGCTATTTTTTCCTGTTTAACCCTCGACGGATTCTTGGGACCAGACATTAGAGAGATTTAGCACCGCGTTTACGTGAAACGGCAAACGTCAGCTTGCCCTTTCACGTTTCACGTAAAATTGCGTGAACCTTGCTACTTTAGCTTCGCGTGAGCTTACGTCTCGGTGAATTTGAAGGTGCCCTTGTATGACTTACAAGGAATATTTTTGGTGCTCCTTTTCCAGGCATTAACTTCTACTATGTGAGAGAAAAAGTGAAGAAAATTTTACGCATACGGCAAACGTGGAACAGGTTACTTTCACGTAAACACGGTAAAGCGCAACCGGCAAACGTGAAAAAATGTCGTGAAAAAAACAAGGTGGCGTGGTCATTCTTACCGTTCATGTATCACTTGAACACGGTGCTAAATCTCTCTATTATTTACTACATCGGAAGTGGAAGGAATTTTTGAGGGATCACATAGTTGTGAATAGGATCGGAGGGGAGATTAGTCGTCGCTAACAGAATGTAAACGGGGACTATAAAAATTGATTGCCAATTAACTGCCAGTAAGGAGGGGGGGAGGGGTCAGAATAATAATACAAAGCCTTATAGTGGGGGTGGATCAGGTAAATTTTATCGTCACACAACCAAAATCCTCCACCACCCGGGCGATTAATGATGACAAATCCCTTTTGTTCTCGGTAACTAGCATTAGTAGTGCGACTGGTATAACTTGGATAGCATAACAATCGCAATTCATGGTTTTTTGAGAGAAAGATAAATACCCCCTAACTGGTCGAGCTGAGGTCTATTCTGTGAATCTAGGGGCCGAATTTTAGCCTCTCGATTCATGGCTAAGTGGGAAGTGCACAGGCCATTATCGAAGGAGTAAAAATAGCATCTTTGGCAGGCCAAAATCAGTAAGGCATTCATCATTTCTCTACTCTATCGGGTGGGTAAGAAACAATATGAATCACTTATAAATCTTTGCTCTATTGTTAACATAAATCAACTCAAAACTGTAGAAAAAGAAGATCCAGATGACAATTTCCTACGTTGCTAATTTAAAATCACTGATTAGTTTAGTGGCAAAAAGAGCTATTTATTACGGCATATTATAACACGTTTCGCAGAACTTTATTGCAAATCAATGGAATGATAATCGATCCCAGGTTTTAAATTCGAAACTTCACTTTCATTCTTTTGATTTTACTTTTCCTGCAGGTGATGGAGATATGGCCGTGTCGCACACAGTTGGTAGCAATGTATTCGACATACTGTTGTGTCTGGGAATTCCCTGGCTTGTCAAAACCACTGTCTGGGACTATGACTCTACCGTTGTCATCAACAGTCATGGACTCTTTATCTCTTGTTTCTTCATTTTGGGTTCAATAGCTGTCACGTTGTTTATTATTTACTACTATAAATGGGTTTTGGACAAAAAAGTAGGCTGCATCTACCTTTTATTTTACTTTATATTCATGGGCATCTCTATCTATGTAGAAATGAAGGCGTTTGGGAAATATAACCCGCCTATGTGTATGGTAGACGTTTGACTTTCAATCTTTCAGTCTTGAAGACTGAGCATTGTCACAATTCAATTGACGTAGTATTCGTAGTAAACTTGTCTGTATAGACTTGAGGAATACTCGACAAGTTTTGGTCGAGAATTTTAAACATGAGATGTAATTTTCCTTAGAGGGCATTTAATTGTCCCTGCCTTCAAGTACACCTAACAGTAAGAAATAAGACTGACGCTTGGATAATAGTTTATATCAACTATGGTTTATGTCAAAATTACTTGAATCAATCTTGTTTCTGAGCTATTTTCTTCTTTAAGTAAAGTAGAACGCCCTAGCGACTAGTATTATTTCGGTTTTAATGTTATGATCCACCCTTATTTCGATCAAACAAACTGAAGAACTCATTCACATTTTCTTCGAAATTAACCAAGCTGATGATATCATTAGAAGAATTTTCATTTCCAAGGATGAATAACATTTTTAAGGCAATGTTCATTCATCTAGGACAGATTTTGCACGTAAAAATGACAAATTTTCTTGTTTCAAATTCACAGGCTGGAATAGGCCATTAAAGACGGGAACAAAGATTCTGCTGAATCAAACGTGTTCCAAGACACGCAATTTTTTTAAAATTAGGTTACGAACAACAATGACTCTATCAGAAAGGTAATTTCTGAGATTGAGAAATTGGTAAAGTGATTGTATGCAACCAAAGGACAATTTCTGGCTCGGGAACAATGTAAGTGCTTCAAAGGGGTAAAAAAGTGAAAAAAAAAAAAACTTTTCACTGGGTTAACTAAAGGTGATTTATTATAACTCAAATCAATGCAATAACAATTTTTCTTTTTTTGATTTGTCTCATTACTTTGGTTTGTGAAGGAGTTACGTTTATTTTATATCACACGGAGAAAGTGTCCTTAGTTTATCATAAAAACTGCGGAACAAGAACTTCCATCCCTGAGAAAAACCCTAATTATACACGTGCAAAATTACGAAATTTTTTTGTATCACCAATTAGTTGGTAAAATGTCACTCACCTTTGGCGCCCCTACATTAATAAAGACGACTTTTTCTTGTCAGTGAAAAGCGTGCAGTACAGGCGGATTATTGGGGCGAGTTAACGTCACAAAGCACACGATCGTTTATTCAACCGGCCTTGTATAACTTGGAGTTCGAGTTGACTGCAAGGAGAGGGGGCGGGAAGGTAAAATTAACTACCCCACCCTCACCCCTCTCCCTATTTTCTCACTGCCACTCACCCCCTTGGTACAAATTTTGTATCTCTACCCAGTCTTCCGCTGCTATAAATATAAAACTGAGCAATCGCTCGCCAAAATTAAGCCTGCTCTGCAGGCTAGCCAGTGTAGGCCTCACTATGGTGTTTATATGATAATAAACAAACTAATTCACGGTTCCGTACAGATATGAAATAATTTCTCGTCTCGTGTTCATTTCGATGTCTCATGACTAAACGCAGCAAACAAGTGAGATATCGAGCTCAACACGAGAAGAGAAATTCTATCAGTCTCCAAGCACTAATGTATTATTCTCAATTTATTATAAGGCAACAGTATTTTTCTAACAAAATACACCATTTAAATATTTTTATAAGGGAGGTCTCAATAGCGTTAACAATTAGCCGTGAAATGGCCAAAAAATTTTTACCGTAAAGGCGTAAAATTTGGCAAAGTTTAATCAGCGTTATTCGCGAAAGAAGATAACTGTAAAAAAGAATTTCTGGTGACAACAATGGAAATATGTTAACCTTCAGTCGTAAAGTGGCCATTTGTTTTAGCCAAAAGCTGCAAAAGCCGTCACCCCGATGAGCCCCGATGAGCCCCGATGAGTCCTGATGAGCCCCGATGAGCTCCGATGAGCCCCGATGAGCCCCTCTCATAATATTTTCAGCGCAGAATGTGACATCCCCAACAAGGGTGGCCCGTCTTCCAATTCCCCTGGGTCATTGTAGTCTTTTCTTTGTTTTATTTTTGTTCTTTACTCTTAGTTCGATTTGGATACCATGGTAATGGCTTGAAAAGTGATATCGTTTCAGAGAGGAATGATGCAAATATCATTGGCCAACCGGTTGATGTTAAAGTTGATATATGTTAAACTTGAACACTAACTCCTAAATTTGAATTACTGGATCATTCTGAGAGCAAGTGAAAGACTCCTTTAAAGTTGAAATTCCCTCAAAAAATTAAAACTTCATTTTAAAATATGGTCTCTATTCAACGAACCTTTGCGAAAAAGATTTTAAGAACATTACTTGTTTATTTAACATTATGCACAGCTGTCATATTTTATTATGAATCGTAATGTGATTTCCGCATGCATTTTTATATTAACTGTATGGGACTTAGACGTGACTGCGTTTTCAAGAGTGCATACGAATCACTGGCTACGATAAATCGCTGGAGGTAAGGAAAACGAAAATGGTTAGTAGCAACCGTAAGTTTAACACGTTTTTAGGGCAAGAGGCCAGAATCGAAGTCATAACAATCCCGTTGTGGAACTTTGCAGTTGAAAACTGCTGCGATAAAAATGTTGCATCCATCTCTATTGTTTGAAACGTAACGTTTGGTCAAACAAAATTTATTCAACGCTAGAACCTTCTTTATCGTCTAGATAGCATTAAGTTGATCCCCCAACTTAACTCATGGTTTAAAGCCAAAAAAATGACAATGAAAATAAAACCAAGCAAGGGATTAAGGGAAAAATGTGCTCTTGTTATCAATTATGCATGGACCCTTGATGCTATGAAATGCTGATTCACATGTATAATTTGCTTCTACTGTCTTGTGTTTTCGTTTTTATAGATAAATAATATTCTGCCGAAATCACTTTAGATTTGGAAAAGTTCCTTTTTTTTGATGACCTAGATTTGAATTGTCAAGGTGAGTTAAAATGTTCATTTGATTCGAAAACTGTAAAATTTTCCTCGTTTTCAAATTATATGCATAAATGATTGAACTTAATGACAAAAACAAGAAAGCATCAACATCTGTTTGCTTTGTGTTTATCTCTTTATTAAGAGGAAGGAGTAAATAAAAGTTTGTCAATCGGTGGTTTTAACCTTAAAAACTCATGGATTGCTGCTTTTTCTAATTAAATCGAGCTGAATCGCAACATTGAGAAATACCGTGGACAGCAAATCGGCTGAAAATTATCTAGAATTCCAGACTTTCTTTCCATGTCGAGCTTCTAAACAGCTTTGGATTTTAAAGTGAATCGTCCGTTATTAGTCGGCTTTAGTCATATTTTGGAGTTTAGTTGATAAAGTTATCATTCTTCGGCAATTCAAGTTGTCGGAAAATACGTTGTTTTTTTTTTTTGTCGTTTTAATTTTTATGTGTGGTCTGATATGGGTAACTTTTAGCAAGTAAAATTTCAGACGTTCACCTACTTCGCAACTGCGTTCAAATTTTGTTCAAAGGCCAATTTTTCAAATGGTTGTTTACCTTACATGAGTTGCCAACTGGCTATGGCATTCTACTTAGGAATGATCTCCTTGCCAAAATGAAAAAGTCACGGAAAGTTGTCGGTTTCGTGAATGAAGCTATTGAATGTTCTCATTAATTTTAATATCCAAGGAACAGATCCTTATCATAAAAGTTTCAAAGTTGTCATATTACGAACTTACTCAAGAAAAAACTGTATCTCCAGCTGAATCACGTGTGATAACGTGAACTGGCAATATTCGCTCAAGCTAAGTGGTCTTTCATTTCGAGCCAAATAAAGGCAGAACTACAATCTTATCGGGTCAAAAACAAAACCGATGCGAATAGTGCGATAATAACAATAAAAAAAGGCGCAGTTACCTAACATCTGCAATCAACCATCTTCACGTTAAAAACTCAAAAATTTAGTATATCAATTACTTGCTTTATTAGGAAAATAAGAATCACTGACAAAATTGTAATCTTTTACAAGGTAAGCTGAACTATACACCCATACATGTCGATTGGTTCTCACTTATGATAATCCATTAGAGGACAGACGTATAGATGACGTCACCATTTTAAAACAGTTTTTTTTACCTCCTTATCATTTAAAACAAATAGATTCCATTTTGCCATGCGCATGTGCAGTTGCAGATCACAGAAGACGTCAAAGTGTGGTAAGAATATCAGCGCGGTGGCACAAATACGTCATCGGTGATCTACTTTTGAGCAGGTATACGACATTAGTATAATTTCAGAGCTGAGCAAAGAGTTTCCAGCAATCTGATTGGTCGAGCGGTTCCTTATATGACGCTATATAAACCACTCCACGCGGTTTATATAAAATATTAGAATAAAATGTTAATAAATGTTACTAAAATGTTATAATTTAAAAAATTTCTCTGTTGTTCAGCTCTGAAATTATGCTAAAACAATTATTCGCCTCGGGTTCGGTGAATATTGTCAAATAATCCCCTCGACTTCGTCTCGGGGATTATTCGACGATATTCACCTCGCCTTCGGCGAATAATTGTTAAATATAAAATATATGTGTTCAATTAAATATACCGTCGATGCCAATAAAACATTCAGTTTATGTTTGTTTTGAAAATAATGGCGAATGAGCATCAGAGAAGAAATAGGAGAACGTTTTGATAAAGAAGTATCGGCTGTTTTCTGCTCTGCTTCTAATTTAATATTTAAGAAGGGTATAAAACACTCAAAAACTGCAGAATAACAGTCCACTAACTCTCGTATTTCTCCCACTTCACTTTTTTTCAAGCCCCAATAGCCACCTCTTTTGTGCTTTACAGCAGAAAAGACTACTGTTGATGCCTCTTTATTTGCCGTGCAATGAGAAATTGCTAAAAAATGAGTATTTCTTGGGAAAATCTTTCCACGCAAATTTGATCGGTGAACGGAAATTGCTCAAAAGTCAATTCAGTAGCAAAAAAAGTTGCAGAAATTTACAAGAGACTTGCGGCTAAGGTAAAGGTGTTGTTTTTTTTTTTCCTCCAACTCATAACACAATGTGAAGTCATTATTAGTACACTTAAAAACAGGAAACAAAATGACAGAATGATTTACCTAAGGATAGTTTAAATAGACGTTAATGTCCCGCACAAGAGCTAGAGAATAAGGGTTTTATCGTTTATCCGCACTTACTCTTTACTTGTTAAATTACCTGGCATAGCGCGACCAAATTTCAATACTTACATTAATTAAAACGCAAGAAATTTTAGCTCTTACAGCAATTTTAATGTCCAGCTAACTTTTGCCTGCCGTTATCATGCGTAATTGACTTGGAAGGCTGCCATTTTAAAGCGCTTATGCGTAGTAACATTTTTAGCATTGTTTTGCTTCAACACCACTTGAAGATGACAGATTGTTTATAGAAACACATATTCTAAAGAAACCGTCGATTTCTGCTTTTTTAATTCTCTAGTGATTTGTTTTTTAGTTTTTTTGTGAACAAAAGTTTGAAAACATCGTGAAGTCCAAAGCAGTCATGTATGTCTTGTGATGAGATACCCAAGTTTAGCTGTACCCGTCATATAGCAATGACTCATTATATGTTGATGTAATTATTCTGTTACACCGACTTAACAGATAACGACAGAAATCATTTGCAACAACAAGCCGACAGTCACGCTTAGAATGTCTATGGAAAAATCTGCACTTCGAACAGCGCTGACCTTTGGAGTTGTTCTTCGCTTTTTGGTACCCAAGTGTTTCATTTTGCTTTCTGCCTGTCTTCAAGTGTATCCTTCAAGCACTAGTGCAGCGAAAAATCAAAGTTTTCCGGCTTCTCTGAGAACGTCATTGAAGCCTTCTCCATCTTTTAAATCCATTCCGGGAGCTACAAGACTTGTTGTGGAAAGAACAGCATTGGAGATGTTTAATTCCACAAATATGAGTCTTATGAACATGTCGAGACCGTCCACTGAAGAACCAGTCTTAGGCAGACAAACAGCAGTGGTTCTTGAATCTTCCATAACGATTAAAAGTATTATAAACTTTAAGGGGAAGGAAGAGCCAACAAATACAATACGCGTTGAACATGCAGATGAGGACAAGAGCGTCGTATTCTACAGAAAGGTATGCTAGCTAGTGCGTTTGGGTAGTCATGCGTAATTATTATTTCTTAACCTGCCGACCGCAATAACCAACTTGACTTAATATTTTCCCCTGGAAGAATTAGGCCTTGCCAATCAAGGAAGGACAGTGCAAAAGGTTTCGCATTTATCAAATATCTTAAAAAACGGCATACCGGACTATCGGACGCGCCTTGAGCTGTTAGCTCGTATTTCTTTTCCGGGAGGAGGGGGTACTTGATCAGTTTGTGACAGTCGGAGCCCTGCGTGGTGCAATAATTGTGATAATTTCTGAAAAAAACCATTACGGATACAAATCGGCACACTACATCGTATTTAGGGCAGATCGGCGAATAAGTTATTTCGTTGGCAGAAAGATGCGCAGGGAACATACCCGATCGTAAAAGAAATAAATAAATAAAAAATACCCTGTCATGTGTACCTCCTTGTATGGTTATGGATGAGCCATATAAGGGGTACTCCATTCTCCCCACCCCCCGTCCCAGGGTTTAACTTTTCGTTTACATCACGAAGGATGGAAATACAATGTGTTCATGGTTTTGAAACGGTTGCTTCAATATTGTTTCATTTTCGTTCCTGACCTTTAAAGGAAACGTTTGACATCCTCAATTTTTATGAATTAAAATAATTATATTCGTTAACATTAACTATAGCTTACTTAGATAATAAATCTGGTACTTTACGACGACATGTAGGGGTGGGAGAAGAACTGGCGTAGTTCTGATCTTTCATTTAAATTGCTGTGTTTTCTTTATGTATGTTTAACGGGATCGCAAATCACTCCATTTAAATACAGCTGTTTCAAGAAAGGTTCTCAGAAAAAAAAGGACAGAAATGCACGCGGTAATCTGAATTTCAAGGAATGAATGAGTTTTACTATGTCAAATAGGTGAATTTATTACGCGAATCGGGCAGTCAGAGGGCCAATAACTAAAATCAACCAATCAAAATGCTCTATTGCCGGTCCAATATTCTCTAAGTATTGGACCGGGCACTGTCCCGAATGATTCCGCACTTGTATCCCTTTGAACTTCAGTCGTATAATAAATCTCTTATTAACCAAGCTTGCTCGGGACCGTAATGGAAGAATATCGGCCCTCAGTCTTTTTTGTACGGACCTCCGACGCTGCGCTCGGTCCGTACTGTCAAGACCTCGGGCTGATATTCTCCCAGTACGGCCCTCGCGATTGGTCAATAAGATATATAAATGCAACTGAAATCCTAAAATTCTGAGGTTAAGGAGCCGTAACCTGAAAACTACCCACATTAAGGACCTGTTTACAAGCAGGTAGGGTAACCCTAGTGCTAGGGTTACCCTGGCAGGAGGGTTACCCTAACGCTCCCACATTTCTTCTTTTTTTCATCGACGTGTTTACAAGGCAGCTAGGGTTACCCCAGCACTAGGGTAACCCTACCTGAGCGCTAGGGTTACCCTAGCGTTAGGGTAACCCTAGCTGCCTTGTAAACGCTCTGGTGGGGATAACTCGCCTACCCGGGACAACTTTTTACTTGTTTCCAGACCCTTTGAACATTGATAACAATGCGTGCGGTTACCAAGCATAGGTAAGTTGTCCCGGGTGGTAGGGTAACCCTACCTGTGAAATTTTGCTTGTAAACCCGGGCTATCTTTGACCCGCCTGCTAGGGTAACCCTAGCACAAGGGTTACCCTCCTTGCTTGTAAACAGGGCCT